AGAGTCAGTTTTCGATGATGAATCCGCATATATCAAATTCGAAAAATTACAGTGAACGGAAGGTGGCAAAATCTCAAGTTTTCTCAGAGGGATGCAAATCTTTTGTTCTACTGGTGCTCTTAGTATTTTGAGGATTTCTCCCGAAAACTTGATCGAATTCGAATCGAAAGGTGATATTCGGTATCAGCTCAGTTAGGGCTATCCGACTATGTAGCTTTCGACCGAAAGTTAAGATAGTGCTGTATTTTTGAATTGCGGGCACCTTAAAAAAATATTCATTTTAACAGTGAAGTTTCCTTTTATCCTCTTGTTATACGTTCAAACAATTCCAAATTGGAAGAAAAGGATTTTTAAAATCTGTTCCATTACGTTCAATACATCTGTTCATTGAACTTGATATCAAGTTGTAGGCAACATTTGATTATGCTGTTCAATTGTTACACAAACTCGTTCATTTAGAAGAATTATCAATTACATTATTTATTGATTATACTGACCGATGTCGTTTATTAATGGTCGAAAACGGAAATCATTATTTACGCAATATTTACCCAAAGTAAAAATATTTCATTTCTTTTGTCGAATACATCCCACATAAAAATATTCCAGTGCGGCACTGGTAAAAATCAGTGCGCATCGGTGCGCATGACATGCCATCGGTCACTGATACTGGCTGGCATCGGTGCGCACCCCTGGCCAGCAGGTGCCGAACCAGTGCCGATATATTTCTGCCAAAAAAGTGCCACACTCGTAAAAATCAATGCTGCATGGGTGCCGCACTGAAATTTATTTAATTAATTCAATTCCTTTTTTGCAATTAGTTAAAATGCAAGTTTATCGTTTAATAAACCAGCATTTATCACCTGAAAACGAATTCGGTTCAAAAATCATTTCTGCACGAACTTTTGGAAAAGCCAAGATTTTATTTTGAGTTGTATTTCAAAAATGAACAGCTCAATGGCTCGTTGATTCCCTTCTACGTACTAAGAGGCGCACAATATGTCTCGACCTTTTTTACACGGAGGCACGCCATGCCGTACTCTTATCCACTGAGCTATTACGGACTGTGATAATGAAAGATCATCTCGCCATTACATTCTGATTAACCAGTTTTAGGTTTTGAATTTCTTGTCTGAGTATATCGACAACTAAAGACAGAGAGCTGGTTTTTGTATCAAGCATCTTGTAACACGTCTATAAGAAACAGATAAGAGCTTCTTATCACTTTCCTATGAAATTCTTATGACTTTCTTATCAGATTCTTATAGAACTATTACCAAACTCCATTCACTTTCCTGCGTACTCTTATCTAAGGGTTTGACAAGAATCCGGTGAGATTCTTATCAGAATTGCAGAAAATATTTTATCTAGGGAGCCACTAGCGTTACGCAAGTACATGAGAAACCTCTCATATTCAGCACTAGAAAAGTCCACCAGCACAATAATCCAAAGACATGTGCAACAAATCCATGCCGATGGAAATTCAGCAACCTTTACTTCAAAGCTATCAAGCCGTCAATGAAAACAAATACCTAGGGTATCACCTTCAAGTCCGCAGCACACCAAATAAAAACGAATATAGCGTAAACTTCCATCCACAGATCATCATTTATCAAATACATAGGGTATTACCTTCCAGTCCTCAAGTCGTCATTTATATCATACATAGGGTATTACCTTCCAGTCCTCAAGTCGTCAACACTAAAATACATAGGGTATTACCTTCCAGTCTTCAAGTCGTCATTTATATCATACATACGCTATTACCTTCCAGTCCTCAAGTCGTCATTTATATCATACATAGGGTATTACCTTCCAGTCTTCAAGTCGTCATTTATATCATACATACGCTATTACCTTCCAGTCCTCAAGTCGTCATTTATATCATACATACGCTATTACCTTCCAGTCCTCAAGTCGTCAAAAGTAAAATACATACTGTGTTATCTTTCAGCTCGCAGTTGTTATTTATGAAATACGTAGGGTAATACCTTTAAGTTCTCTGATGGTGAGTGATAAAATACACAGGGTATTACCTTTCTGTCCTCGGTATCCCAGGGTATTGGGATTATGACATCTCTCAAAAAACAAGTATCTTGGACAAGGATAGCTTCGGGTTATAACATCTCTACGAACAATCAATACAAGTGAATCGTATCCCCCAGAGAGAAGTAATTATCTGATTGTGTATAAAAAGAAAAAATATCAGAGTCGTTATGTTCTTTCCGTAATGGTTCAAGTTCTTTCAATTAATAGTAGAGTTGTATAGCTGCAATCTCTAATAACCAATGAAGGCTACTACGATAGGGGCAGATAAAGCAATATATCGTACATAAACTTTGAAAATGAATACATTGATTCGGTCTCTGGACTTTTTAGCAATTTTTAACGCAAGGTGCAGTCTATTCAGTGTGTAATATTATTCTCCATAAAACCACTCTCAAATGGTGAAAGATTAGTGACTTTTTAGGCTGATAATCACGAAAAAAGTTTTTTCTTTTGAAAAGTAGACGCTGATGAATATCAGTCAGTTTGAAAAATTCAGAAAACTAGTGAATGCAACATGAAGATTGTTTTCATTGACTACTTAAAGAGTTTTTATTTTGAAATACGATAAAGCACTTCAACTCCGCTTTAAAAAAATACAAAAGAAAGGTTTCATTTACAGTGAAGAAACAGAAAAAAGAACCGACATCACGGTTTCTAACAGCATCATTCAAGGTAAAGTTGTTAATTTAACGCAATACAAAACTTTTACAGAAACAACGAATATTTTGAAAGTCACTTTCAAGATTGTGTACTTCAGATGGACGTAAAAATCACAGTCTAGTTAATTTTACTTTAAGTTGTAAAGTTGATGTAATTAAGGGTAAATGAGTGCTGTCCTGTTATATGAATAATTCCTTCCATTCTTCTCTTACTTTCTTATCTTTCGTATGTATCTATATATGCGTACACGAGAAAAAAGATTAAAAAAAAGAAAAATGACATCGAGAAAGTGAGAAGAGAAGAAATTTGTAGGAGAGGAAAATATGTATTTTCTGTTGCCATCGTAAATGAGGATTTATATGTGTAAGATTGGCCGAGTATAAATTGGGTACAATTCGATAGAGTACAATTATACAAGATTGTTCGTAAGCTCTTAATTAGTTTCGTCTGAGCCCATCAAAATGTATCAATTAGATTGAAGATTAGGGAAGCGTAAAATATATTCCAATCGGTGGGTCGTTACTTCCCTATTCCGTCCATTAAGTCGGTGTAGGTACGATATAATGTAGTTTAGAACTGTTTTATACATAACTGCCTTGTTTTGTAATTGCATAAACATATAACGTGTAGTCATTTTTTCTTTACAGATGAGGTGATAGATAGAAAAGCAATGTTTCAAGATTTTAGAATGCATCAACATCGGTAACTAAATTGGTGGTTAATGTTTAAAAATTATACTTTTTTCTGCTATATTCAACAGCTAAAAAAGCTCTTTTTGACTACTATGACTTTCCGGCTTTCTCGTCGGGTCATGATAATTAGAGATAATGTGTGTTCGAACTTTATCTGTTCAGTAAATAGTGACATTAGTTTTATGCAGAAAATGGAATAAAGTAGAAATGAAACACCAAAATAAGATTAAATCAAAAATTTTTTTTTTCTAACTCGGAAATTTGACAACATTCGTAAAGCATGTAATTATTTTAAAGCAAAAAAAGATCCGTCCAAATTTTACGAAATATTTTATCGAGTCATTGCTTTTAACTTCCTCATAAATTTATTTGATAATTACCGGTTAGTGCTATACAAGGAGGACAAGACAAATATGGGTCAGTAAATCGGTAACAATTAATCTAACTATCACGATCCAGAAGAAAATCGGAAAGTCTTGGTGATCAAAAAGAGTTTATCTAACTCCAGAGTGTAAAAGAAGAAAGTATGAGTTTTGAAACATCAATCACCAATAGTGAAGCCACATATCTTTAAAACTGAAAGGGATCTGTTTCTGGAAAACACATCAAAATATAGTACAACTTGTGTACGTCGAATTAGTAGTTCCAGTCTCGGTCACGTTCTGGTCTGAATCGGAACTGGAAAAAGTCTCGCCCATGTCTACTTTCGACACCTGTGCTCTCGCTACTATCAACGCTGAACCTTTTTGCTTTTTTGATAAATGTGGATTTATTTCTCTTTTTTAATTTGCTGAACCCTGAAGATAAATACACGATGTAGAAATCAAAAGAGTGTAATATATATGTGCTGATAGGAGAAAATTGTTAATGTCATCCTTCGGTCTTTCTTGCTTCCTGGCATTCATTTAGTTCAACAAGTTTCAGTTTTATTAATATGTTATTCAGCTTGCTACAACCGTTTTTATAAATGTCGACAGAATTTATAATTTTTTTCCGAAAATTACCGATTTTCGACTTTTGAAAATTACTTTTAAGCTCTTGAGTGAAAACGATGTATTCACACAACTTCTGGTTTCCAGAATATCCTTCGTTTTTCAAAAATCCCTAAAATTCTGGAGCAGTTACTCCCGCATTTAGTCGCACGCCAATTGAGCATTAATCATTCACTACTAATATTTTAGCTTCGTTTATTTTCAACTTCATTATTTTGAAAGAGAACTCCTTCATACATCAGGAAAATCTTTACGTCAGACGTTGAAAAAGGTAGATTTTCTGCGCTAAGAAGATATAAAAATGAATAGGTAAAACTGAAACGAGTTTTATTTGAAACAAATTGGGAAAAGCAATTGGGAAAGCTAGAAAATATTATTTCATTTTACTTCTGATATCATCGATTTTTTCTTGTAATTCAAGAACAGCAGGATGTTCGTCAACCAATGTCTTTTTATAAAGGTTTAATGCCTTCGAATATGCTTGAACGCTAAGATCGTAATTTTGTTTATTCAAATAGGCTTTACCGAGATTCAGTAGTGTGGGTAACAGGTATTTATGATCAGATGGTAGCGTTCTTTCAAAAATATCTAATGCTTTAGAATAATGTTAAAGTGCTTCATCAGGATGTTTTGTTTTGTCGTAAACATCTCCCATACTGTTTAGACATAATGCGATGTAGACATGATGTGACGGTAGTTGTGCTTTATATATTTCTAATGCGTTTCGATGATATTTCATGGCATCATTGTATTTTTTCTCCTTTACATAGACCAACGCCATATTATTAATGAGACGTGCACGATCAATATCGCTATTTTCACACATTTTCAACGCTTGACTGTAAATCTGAAGTGCCTGATCATAGTTTCCTTTTAGTTTATTAACAATACCGATGCCTTTTAGTGATCGAGCAGCGTCACGGGTACGCGGTGGTTTTGCTTTCATTTGCATTTCATATGCGCGATAGTAGTTTTCTTCAGCCGATAAATAATTATCCTGACAGCAGTAGGCACGGCCGATATTATAATAAATATTAGCTTCTTCTTTTCGTGAATAGTCTTTCTTTTGTAATAGAGTTTGAAAATATTTTAAAGATTTTTCGAATTCGCCCATATCAGCCAATAATTGACCGAACATGATGTGAACATTTGTCTGGGCCAGTTCCTCTTCTATCAATTTTTTATGTTCTTCTACAACTTTTTCGCCTTCGTTTGTACTTGTCATGCAGATTATCCACAACCCCAAAGTTGCATCAAATTGATTACTCGTTATTTTAAAAGTTGCTGCTAAATCGAACAATACTTCTTTTTCTTTGTCGTATTTACTCATATTAGCAATGTCGGCGAATATTGATTGGTTTTTGTTCGCCTCTATTTCAAACAAGACTGGTTCAACATCAGTGCGTGTTCGAGATCGTTTTTTTGCAAATTCAACGGCTGTTTCCTTTGAACGAGATGTAGACAAAAACCCGTTTGTTGATATTAGACTATCTGGTTTATATGTTTCAATTTCGGCACGAGTTAGTTTTAGTCCTCGATAAACAGTGATTTGAGACAACTGTTGTGTAGCGTGTAGAGCAACTATGTTTGATGAAAGGTTAGCAATATAAAATCGTAACATATACAATCCTTCGATATCTTCCGTTCTTAGTGCTTTATTTACGATATGATAAAGGAAATTCTCTCGCGTATACCATTCGACAGCGTCTTTTGATTTGTAGTTTTCAGCGAAGTCAACAACATCGCGGGTGGCGGTATCAACACCACGATAGAAATTGTGACATTCACGCACCATTTGCTCTTTTGCTTCAGCTGTCGGCGGCATTTTTACAAGAACGACATTTTTGAATAGCTGAAACCAAAGAAATGATGCCGAATTTTGTGTAAGATCACGTGTTGAATTCTGTTTTTTATCGAAAAGACTGAAAGCTGCTAGTTGCTCATGAACGGATTCGAGTGTACGTCGAATACACCTTATCAAATCCTCTTGTTTATTAAACACACCAGCAATTCGTTTATACTCGTCTCTTAATGTCAAATGTCTTTCAATTTTAGCACAAAAAATGAATATAGAATCGATTTGTCTTGATGAGCGTGCAGCATCGAGTATATCTCGTGCTGATTTTCCAGAAACAATAAGAAAAATTAATTCATCTTTTATCGAGAGTATATGCTCAATGCATTTGTCACGTTCATCGAAAAATACGACCATACTGTTTATTTCTCGCAACATTTTCTTCGTTTTTTTAACATCATCCAGATTTCGACCAATGTTCTCATCAAACCAAATCAATGTGATTGACTCTTTATTTTTACAAATCGTTTTTATATTTATTGTGACAACAGCGTTTCCCGTTTGAGATGTATCTTGATTGGAAGCCATCTCCTATAGACACAAGAAGCAGAATAACTCATAACCTAAACGTTTATCTGGAAGCGCATCCCTTGAATTTGTTATTCCTCGTTATTCCTTTTTTTTTTATTGTTATTCCAATTGTTATTTCTTCTTTTTCTATGGATGCGCATATAGATGATATCAGAATGACTGAGATAAGTATTATGATTACTTCTCTCATGTAAACAGACAAAAGACGAACAAAAAAGCAAAAAGGTTCAGCGTTGATAGTAGCGAGAGCACAGGTGTCGAAAGTAGACATGGGCGAGACTTTTTCCAGTTCCGATTCAGACCAGAACGTGACCGAGACTGGAACTACTAATTCGAC